GAAAACACTTAAAGCAAAACTTTGTCCAAGTGCTTTTCAAAGGTTAACTTTCTAATTACTAGACATGGAACATTTTATTACCTTATAGGAAGTTACATTAAAAAAAAAAAAACACAAACGACTTTCCCATTATGCAGTCCATTTGGTAGAGGTAAATTTAGTGTGCACAGGGCAAAGACAACCTCCAAAGGAGACAGAGATGCACACCTAGAGGCACCAAATGCTGTGCCACTTATCTTAATTTGAAGTGTGACGCTTGAAGAGCGTGCAATACAAAAGCTGGCTACATTCTGCTGGCTTCCCTCACTTACCAGACAGTGTCCAGCATCACTGGTCAGAAACACCAGGGCAAACAAAGATGGACTACGGTTTACTGGTGTGAAATTCAGAAATCGCTGGCCTTAAACTTTGACCAGACTATGTAAGAAAAAGAATGCAAGTGGAAAAGTACAAGTTTTGTCTTTCAGTTGTTAGCAGAAAGCGTTTGTTCTAGCAAACCCTGTCTCCCCCGTAACCGCTTCCCGATAACAGCAAGACAGTACATGATTAGTGTCTACAGCTGCTTGTTCTAAAAAAACTCCTTTATACGATCATGTGAGTTGTAGTGGCTGTTTCAAAGTATATAAGCTGCCTGATTTTGCTTTTGGAGAGAGATCTCTTCCCAGTGCTTGGTGAATCCACGTCGCTTTGAGGTCTCTCCTACAGCTGTAGTTTCATCTAAATAAAAAGCTTCTGCTGACCTGCCTCAAAAGTATCCTGCGTGTGCTTGCACGACAATTCCTGGTGCCCCGACTCGGATCCAAAACACGCGTCGCGTAGGAAGGACCGCGGACCGTTCCCCACTGAACCCCGGCGCCACCCCGAAGGTAAGAGACCTTTTAAATCTCTATTGGGGTTTCGGAGGAGGACTATCCGTAGGGTTCCTGCCCGCCCCGTGGCAACTGGATTCGAACCTTTAACTACACAGGTCAGAACAGAACCGTGTAGCCGGCAAACTTCCCATGTATACTATCTGGTCTGAAAGGTCGTTCTAGTAGGGAGAATCTGTTTTAAGCACCTCCATCCAACACAACACCGGGCTCAGGTTAAGTTAGAGCGGGACGGTGGGAAGGAGGTCAAAAGGAGTGAGTGTTCCCGTATGACTGAAAGATAAATGAAAAGCCTGTAAGAGGGAAGAGCCTCCGGGACGGGGGGGCTCACCCCAGGGGCACCCGTCAGCCAGGCCTGGCTGCCCACTGCGGAGGAGCTCTGCTCTAGCGGTTAAAGACTCGGGTGGAATGTGAAAAACTTACAGTCTTGGTTGAACGAGCAATCCCTAACTTCTTTCCTCGATTTATGAGCCCTGTAACTTCTGCCTGTCAGGAGTGAAGGGACCCCTTTTGTGTTTTCCTCCCCCACTTCCACTGCATGAGCCGGCGTCGGGTCTGACGTCCGTTGTCTCGGCGGTGAAGACCGCGGGGCAGGACTCTGAGCGGCACGGACATCCTAAATAAGCCTATCCTACGTTCCCCGCGTGACTGAAAATGGGAACGGCTCAGTCAAAACAGGTGCCAGTTCCCCCTAAGGGAACTCCAGCATATTATATGTACACACATTATTCTCCCAAGACTTGTAAGTTCCTGGACAAGTGGCACTGGTACACTAGGGATGACCTTTCAAAGCAATTTCCGGAGGAAGGCACATTTGATCTTAACAGAATAGTGCACTTAAGAGAGGCTCTACAATCCCGTGGATCCAAAACCCAAACCCAATGGGACGCACTCTTTGACTGGTATGAGGAAACGTCTAAACGCCGGACAGAGTCCCAGACCAGGAGTCTTAAAGACTCGCAAGAAAAGCTGAGACAACAATTGAAACAAGTACGGGAGGAATTGACTGCTCCCCCAAATTATGAACAGACCTTTGCTTCACAATATCCTGTGTTGCCCGGGGTGCCCCCTCCATCAGAAACACCAGAAGATGTCCTGTACTTTTACCCGAATCCAGTGTGGGCCTCCCCCCCCCCACCCGTTACCACCGCTACCGGCACACCCGGCAGCAGCGCCACCTGATATTCCTGTCGGTCCGGACTCTTCTACTTTAGATAACAGCCAATCTGCACCATCGTGGCATAGTACCCCAGGACAAACCCCCACCTCTGTTCTCCTTAGAAGAGCAGTACAAGAACCGTCCCCCCACGTGTATAACCTTAGCTCTCATGATATACATAACACGCCACTTAGACAAATGCCAGGCATTGGTCCCGATGGACAAAACACTATTACAGTGCATGCGCCTTGGACCCCGGGAGAGCTGTATAATCTAACTCAGAAATTTCCTAAGATCAGAGAGGATCCGTCCAAGTTCCAGGACGAGTTAGAGACTGTTATAAATTGTTATAATCCAACTTGGGCAGACATAAACCAACTCATGAGATCTGTCTTGCCCAGAGAAACCATGCAGCGCCTTTTTGCTGCCTGTACATGGCCAGACCAAGACCCGGGCACTGGCCAAGATTTTATTGACAAAAGAGCTGCCTTAGTTCGAGCAATCCTTACGATCTGCCCCAAAAAGGCAGACTGGACCAAAATTTTCACCTGCAAACAAAATAAGAATGAACATCCTGGAGATTACCTTAAAAGACTTAAGCAAACTTTTGAGAGGCACTCAGGAATGGAAAACCCAGTTCAGCAAGCCCCACAAGCAGTAGTAGCTGCTTTTGTTCAAGGACTTAATCTCAAAATTGCAGAAAATATTCAGGAGGTCATTGTTGGTTGGGAAGCTAAAGATCTCCAGGAGATCCTAGCGGCCGCTATTCATTTCTACAATCAAGTGGAACAATCAAGGGCTAACGCTGACACTAAATTGCTGGTACTCCAGATTTCCCAACTGCAGGGCCGAGGCAGAGGAAGAGGCAAGGGCCGTGGGAGGGAAGGCCCGGGAGGATCTGGAGGCCGGGGTAGACCCACAGGTCCCCAGAACCACAACTATGGAAACCAGTGTCACTACTGCAAGCAGAAAGGACACTGGAAATCAGAATGCCCCAACCGCCCAGGGCAACAGACCCGCTCCCAGCCCTTGCCTCCACCTCATATAAATTTCCCCAGCGATGAATAGCATAGCCTGCGGGGTAGTGACATCATTGCCCCATTACTTTCTGTTGACCGGTCTGGTCCCTGTGTTAATTGCTCTGTCGCGGGAAAACCTGTCTCTTGCTTAATTCATACTGGAGCATCTCGCTTCATCCTCAAGGCTGCTGATTTTCCTATCCTGCCTCAGTCTTCTGAAACTGTCAATGCAATGGGTATAAGTGGTTAACCTATTCCTCACTCCGTCTCCAAAACCATTTCAGTTTCTATCGGACCTCTTTCCGAAAGCAATGCTTTTCTTTTAAGCCCCTTGTGCACCCGTAAACCTCTTAGGGAAGGATTTACTGTGTAAACTGGGATGCGTAATCTATTGTAATCCAGATGGCATTTACCTAGAAATACCGGAGCCCAGGGAAACTGAGATTATAGCATTATTGACTGAGGGAGATTCCAGTGCTGACCCTTCCTTGTTGCAACAGGAACCGTTAGCCCAGGTACCTCCCCAGTTATGGTCCACATAAAAGTATGTTGAGTGCCGAGCCCGTGCACATTACTTTAAACCCAGCAAAGCCTCTTCCCTGTGTTCCTCAGTACTCCATAGCTAAAGCAGCTGAGGAAGCAATAAGACCAGTTTTATCACCTCACTTCTTAAACAAGGGATAATTGTCCCAACTCGCTCCCCACGTAACACACCAATCCTTCCTGTAAAAAACGTCTACCGTTTTGTGCAAACTTAGAGCTGTAAACTCCGCGGTCCTACCCACCTCTCCAGTCGTCCCTAATTCTGCCACTATTCCCTCCTGTATCCCCTCTGATGCTACCTGCTTTACAGTGGTAGATCTCTGTTCTGCTTTTTTCTCCATTCCTATCCATGAGGATAGTCAATTTTTGTTTGCATTTACTCACCAAGGTCTACAGTATACCTGGACTCGGTTTCCACAGGGGTATACTTTGTTTTCCCAGGTTTTGAAAAGGGATTTAGATTCTATTTCCTTTAACGGAGAGTCCACCCTTATCCAGCATGTAGACGACCTCCTTTTAGCTTCACCTACCTTAAAAGCCTGCAAGCAAGACGCCTTAACCCTTCTTACCGCCTTAGCCCTCAGAGACCATAAAGTTTCAAAATCTAAGCTGCAACTCTGCCTACCTCGAGTACATGATTTAGGCCATGACATCTCAGCAGGAGAAAGACACCTCTCCTCTGAGAGAATACAGGCAATTCTTAAAAATCCCAAGACCCAAGACTGAGAAACAAATGAGAGGATTCTTAGGGTCAGCTGGATATCGTATGCAATGGATGTTAGGATATGCAGCCTTAGTAAAGCCCCTGCAGACCCTTACGTATGATGATACTCCAGAACCTCTCCCCTGGAACGAAGAAGCTGAACAAGCCTTTGTCCATCTTAAACAAGCTCTTGCTAGTGCTCCTGCATTAGGACTCCCCAACTATAAAAAACCTTTTACCGTGTTTTGCCATGAATGAGAGGGAATTGCGCTGGGAGTACTCACCCAACTCCACGGAGACAAGCACCGTCCTATTGCATATTACAGCTCGGCTCTTGATCCCGTAGCTGCTGGACTACCACCGTGTCTCCGTGCAGTAGCGGCAGCAGCTCTACTGGTTGAAAAGGCAGACACCTTAATACTAGGACATTCCCTGACTGTTGCAGTACCTCACGCAGTTATGGCTCTCCTACTAAAAGACAAAACTCAACATATTTCAAACGCCCGACTTACCAAATATGAAAAACTCCTCCTGTCAGCTGCCAATGTGACCGTGTCCCGTTGTTCTGTACTAAACCCTGCTTCCCTTTTACCCATCACTTCTGACGGCGAACCCCAGGACTGCCTCTCTGTAACTGCGCAACTTTTAACTCCTCGGATAGATTTAAAGGACGTCCCAATCCCGAATTCTGATCTTGTCCTGTACGTCGATGGATCCTGCCTTAGGAACACAAGCGGACAGTTAGTTGCAGGATATGCTGTCTGTACTCGGCCTGCTGTGCTTGAAGCTTATTCTCTCCCTCCAGCCCGCTTTGCACAAGCAGCAGAACACTTTGCCCTCGCACCTGCCTGCATCCTTGCCCGCAATCAGCCTGTAACCATTTATACTGACTCCAAATATGCATTTGGTGTAGTACATGATTTTGGTCAAATTTGGAAGCAAAAGGGATTCCTTACATAATCTGGTACTCAAATTAGTCATGGTTGTTATGTTAATGCTCTTCTCGAAGCCATCCAATTGCCTTCTGCTATTGCCGTTGTTAGATGTAAAGCTCACGAGCTCCCTTATGATGATGTCACTCGAGGAAATGATCTAGCTGATGGCTTAGCTAGACGAGCGGCCCGTTCTGGCCCTCAGGCTCCTAATTCTGTTCTTGTTTGTTTTTCAGCAGTCCAGTCCCCTCAGACCTGGCCATTCTCCAAGATCAGGCTCCAGAACAAGAAGAGAATGGCTGGCTGCATGCAGGATGTTCCCTGCACCCAGACTCTCTCTGGCGCTCCCCAGACGGCCGCTTGGTAGCCCCATGAGAGTTACCCCCTCACCTTGCTCGTGTGACCCGCTCAGTGGCGCACACGAGCAAAGTGGGGGGGATGATTGATGCAGTACAAAGATTGGTTTGCCCCAAATTTTTCATCCATGGCACAACAGTACTGTAGCTCCTGTCCCATTTGTTTAGCCCGCAACATTGGCCAACGAGTAAAAGCCACACCTGCTGTCCATCCCCCACCACGGGGACCATTTGTCAACCTACAGATTGATTTTATACAATTACCTAGACGCTGCTCTTACGAATATGTGCTTGCAATTGTTGATATGTATTTTGGATGGGTAGAAACCCACCCCTGTGCACATGCAGATCCCATCACAGTTGCAAAGAAATTGCTCAAGGAACTTATTCCCAGATTTGGCTTGCCTCTCACAATGGACAGTGATAGAGGCACCCATTTCACAGGTCAAATTATTAAGGACATTTGTAAAGCACTCAACATACAGCAACACCTACGCTGTAGTTATCACCCACAATCCAGTGGTGCAGTGGAACGTAAGAATTCTGACCTGAAAACACATCTTTCCAAAATCTGTGCCGAAACTGGTCCTAAGTGGCCCGACGCACTGCCCATTGCCCTCATGCATATTAGAAACACTGCAAATAGAAAACACGGACTAACGCCACATGAAATTCTTATGGCATGCCCTACGAGACTGCCAGCCACTCCTCCAGTAGCCCCACACCAAATACATTTACACCTAACTGATGAAACTGTTTTGAACTATTGTAAGGCACTAACGAAATGTGTCAAGTCTATCCATTCACAGGTCCAGGAAGCTTCTCCTCAGCCACCTGACGTCCCTTGCCGTGACCTCCAGCCAGGAGACTGGGTATATGTGAAGGTCCATCAGCGAAAGGATGCACTCCAACCCAGGTGGAAAGGACCGTTTCAAGTTTTACTGACCACCCATACCGCTGTCAAGTGCCAAGGACACCAGACGTGGACTCATGCCTCACACTGCAAAAAGGTGCTACCGCCACTAGATTCAGATGCTCCGGCATTTCAACCATCTAAGCACCCAGCAGCTACAAACCAAGACTCCCAACACACTAAAGAAAAGACATCAGAAGAATCACCTCGATATAAACTCTGGAGCCGCACCAGAAACACTCAGGGACAATAGGCTCATGTACCCAAACGCCAAAGTCATAAGCCCCTGGGGTAATCTGGGACCGAAGAGGGAGGAAAAGTTGTGGTTGCCATCTTGGGTCTAGTTAGTTGCATTGTTCTTCCTACTGGTATTAACTGCATTCGTTGTGGAGATATTTTGTCCTTCCTGTCTCTAAAATGGCACTGATATCCTTATACATCGTTCTTGGGTACCTTAGTATCACCCAAGGGGAGGTGGGAGAAAAATTTGTTCTTGCAGATCTCCCAAAAGGTGGGCCAGGTTGGGAATAAAAGTGACTGCTGGATATGCTCCCGCTGCCCAGCGCATCTGTACCAAGGGGTCCCTATGATCGGAATAGCAATAACCCTCCAGCAATGGGGAAAGACAAATGGCAGCTTTGTTAGACCCTACTCGATTGCTGCCAACCAGTCCGCTTCCGAGGAATGGAGGTCCGCCCCCGCTGACTGGATAATCTCCCCAAGAGCAGAGGTGCCTTTCTGTTACAGAACTGGAGCTTAGGATGAAGCCACACCTGTGGGGCACTACCCTCATTGCCAAGCTATTTCAGACTATAGCTTTAATAGCACAAGTGGAATCCTGTTGGGTAATGTGCCCTCTCTCAATTGTCCAGGATTCACGGTTCACAACTTCTCTGATGAACCTCATGCTGTTCTCGCTGCAAACAGATCGGCATTTTACATGCATTCCAGCTTTACTTTTTGTAACATATCTCAGTCCAGCAAGACATCAGCCCAACGTGGTCCGTCCTACACGTCGCATGTCAACCAACAGTGCCTGGTAAGGAAGAACACCTGTAAAGATTTGAGTGCCCTTTCTGCTCTGGGTCTACCGGCTCTGCGAAAACAGGGCTCATAAAAATCTTACCCTAGAAATGGGTGGGGACATGTACTCTTAGACATGTTATCCCTGGTTTTGAAATGCAACGCATCTGGAGTAAGTAAGAAATTTCAACCATTGCATAAAAAGGGCAGTTAACCCCTTAGCTACCAGAAACACAGGGTTCCACCAATTTGTGAGGACCCTCATACCTTGGCTTGGAGTAAATGAATTGAAACAAGCCATAGCTAATATTTCAGCCACAACGGAAGCTATGGGGAACACTGCTGCTGATGCTATCCCAGCCTTACAAGAAGAGATCTCCCAGATCTCACAAGTAACTATACAAAACCACATGGCCCTAAACTACCTATTGGTACCCCAGGGAGGAGTATGTGCCCTGGTAAACTCCGCCTCTTGTGTTTATGTCAACCAAAACAAGTGAAGACAGACAGACATTTGCAAAATTCGCAACCAGTTAAGGGTCCTACACCAGGTAGCCTCAAAAAAATACCGAATGGGAAATCGAAGACATGTGGTCCTGGCTTACCTCCTGGCTGCCCAGCCTTGGGGCTCTGGGAAAGAAAATTCTGTATGGAATAATGTTTGTTTTAATACTGTTAGTAGTTCTCTATGTTTTACTTCAATTGTCTCTTTGCTGCATACGCACTGGTACCCAAACCTTTGGCAAGATTAGTAAACCTAAGATAGAGAACAAAATAGTGATATTACAGAGATGTGGGTGAATTGAGAAGGAACAAGAAGAAAGATATAATGAAATAAAAGGGTTAATGAGCATTGAAGTTTAAGGCTAAAATGAGACTTGGAAGTCTCAAAGGGGGGGAAGGTGGAATTCAGAAGTCGCTGGCCTTAAACTTTGAGCAGCCTTTGTAAGAAAGAGAACGAGTGGAAAAGTACAATTTTTGTCTTTCAGTTGTTAGCAGAAAGCGTTTGTTCTAGCAAACCCTGTCTCCCCCGTAACCGCTTCCCGGTAACAGCAAGACAGTACGTGATTAGTGTCTATAGCTGCTTGCTCTAAAAAAACTCCATTATACAATCATGAGTCGTAGTGGCTGTTTAAAGGTATATAAGCTGCCTGATTTTGCTTTTGGAGAGAGATCTCTTCCCAGTGCTTGGTGAATCCACGTCGCTTTGAGGTCTCTCCTACAGCTGTAGTTTCATCTAAATAAAAAGCTTCTGCTGACCTGCCTCAAAAGTATTCTGCGTGTGTTTGCACAACACTGGAAAGAAGCCCAGATATGCAGTATGCACCTAGCTACATAGTTAGTTGCGTCTTTCCTTTTCACTGGTTTCCAGTAGTTTTGAATGACTTTTCAGTCCTGAAAGCATGATCCTACAGCCTGCAACTTCCACGAAAACAGACCTGTGGGACCAGCTGTTGTAGTGTTTACCGCCAGTAAGAGAGTCAGATTCTTTCAGTCCCTCCCAAGCTGGCATACAGTACACTGGCGTAACTTCAGCACTGCTCTGGCCAAAAATGGACAAGCCTCCTTGGGCAAACAGTAAAACAGGAACCTTGCAAAAGAGATCACCTTACCCTCAAGGTTAGAAAAGTAGCTCTGAAAGATTTAAAAAAAAAAAAAAAACACAAACAAACAAACAAAAAAACAAAGGAAAAAAAGTGGAGTTTCAGATATTGGTACTGGTCAAATAGAGCAAGTGCAGAAAAGCCCTGCCTTAGAATAGCAGAAAAACTACACAAGTCATATTTATGGGTTATAAAAGCCCTTTTATAAAGCCATTTTTAAACAAAACCAAAAAGTTTACAAAAGAAAATAAAAGATACAGAAGAATGAGTTGCTTAATATATTCCAAAAAGAGAAAAATAAAGAGGGGACACAATTCCAACATGCTGAACAATAAAGGGTTCTTTTTTCTCGTTTTTTAATACAAAATACAAGCGAAGGATACACATACTTAAAACAGCGCTCAGGAGCAGGTATGCAGTCCTGGGAACCCTTCAATAAAAGCAAAGCAGGGTTTTGTTAATTTTTTTTCTTCTTCTTTGCAGGTACATACAGAGACTGGAATATGTAAAATTAAGTAGCACAAAAGACCATCACACAATTCTACCAATGCATGTTGCATCTATAATTCACGAACATGGTCAACAAAGTCATGTTCACTTCAACCCCCTTTTTAAAAAAAAAAAAAAAAAAAAAAAAAAAAAAAAATTTAAATAAAGCATTAATGTTACATTCAAACTTAACTCCTAGTACCATGCTGCCAATCTCAGTATTGTCATGGTATTGCAAGAACTTGCCAACCCTAACGAAGTTTTTGTCGTGCCCAGTGATGACAGAACCACGTTCAGGAATGCTCTTCAGTCCCAGGGCAGCAGAAAGTACTTAATTTGCTGCCACCCCTACTTTTCTGGCTGCTAGTGAAGAAGGGGTGCAGAAACTCAGGGGTGGGGCTAATTTTACTGAAGGCCCAACAGGGTTGTGAATACTCGAGACAAATATTCATTGCATACCACTGAGCAATGCCTTGCTGATGTTAAGGGCCCCATGCCCTGCTGATGTCTCTCCCTCCTTTATCAGAGTAGTTTTATAGGGTTTGCTGTGACATCATGTTCATGGTAAAACAAATTATGTAGCTCTTATTTACAATTTTTGTAACAATTGCTTCTGCAGGAAAAAGTAGAATTCACAAATTTCCAGAACACATAGGGAATAAGTTGTCAGACACTCCCATGCGCGCGCACACACACTCGCGCACTCACACACAAAATACTTCAGGGGCTTTTACACACATTACTGTGGCTTAAGCTGATTATTTCTCCATCCCACCCCCAGCCCTCCCAAAATATATATATATAAAACCCTTGCCCCAATATACAAAGCGTATGCACAATGGTATCTTGCAGTCACACTGAGCATGCTCAGATTGATGGAATCATTCAATTCACTGCAGTTAGATGGGGGCAGGCAGTTTACCAAGTTGTTTCCAATAGTGGTCAGAACATAGCAAGAATTTTGACTAGATTTAGAAAGAGAAACACCGACGTTTTTATAAAGACTTTAATGAAAAAAAAAACCAACACATTCAAATGACAGTTATCTAATGAAGTGGGGAAGTCTAATATAAGGATATGGGAGGTCAGGGGAGGTGCTTTCAAAGGACGCGGTTAGCTGAAGTTTATTTTAGACGCATATCTAGCTGGTATTACTAGCACCTCAAAACTCAGTCTGTCTCTCTCTTTAAAAAAAAGAAAGAAAGAAAAAACAACACTCATGTTGGACAATGTGAACAGACTAGTTGGTTTCACTTTCCAGTTCCATGCATGTGATATCTGAGTTTAAGCCCCCAACCCTGCAGGAAAAAAGTTCAAAAGCCACCGAGTTAAAACTAATGGGAAAAATTATTCTTAGCTCTTTGTAGAAACATTAAACAAACCCCACACCCAAGGGTTACTGATCTGTGACGGTGCCCCTTTATGTGACTGTTTGCAGTCTCTACAGTTTGACAGCCTCTTACCCCAATGTACTTATACCCACTTCTCAAATATCTAGACTCATGGATCGATTTGTGGTTTAAAAAACCATGTTCAACAATATGATCTGTTATAAAAATAAACACTCCACAGACAAATTACATAAAGCAAAGCACCAGTTTCTACAGCTCAAAAGCTTCCAGCATGTTACAATTTCTTCACTTCCCTCCCCAGGCCTGGCTCCTCAGTTTAAATTGTCTGCTGTACATTAGGGGTCACGTTCAGAAGTCAAATCAGGCGCCACTGCCCCTGTACAAAACAGTCCTCCGTTTCCTGATAGATGCATGGTGCTGAGACGGAGCATGCTCAAAACAATTACCTATCCTCCCATTCCTTGCAGGACAGCAGAAACACTCAAGAATATACAGGATTCCCCCTCCCACACAGATGGTTCTGCTTTTACATGATTTCATCCAACACTGTGATTTCTTAAAAACTTCCCAACTGCCCCATATTGAAATTCTTCCCACCACAAATTAATCCTAAAACCCAACCCATCTTGGGAAAGAAGGGGGGGGGGCAGGGCAAACAAAACACCCCCTGCCCCCCCAACCCAACAAAAAACTGCTCTTAATGGGCATCTTGACTTTTTTATGCTGAATTCATGTTCAATGGATTTAAATAAATTAAGTTAATTTCAACCAAATAACCTTTAGTATGTAACTTTCAAACCTTACTGGAAAGAAGTTTGAGCCTTTGGGGACCAGACTTCATGACTAGTTAAAAACCTGACCATTTATATGCAACTGCAAAATAATGCTGTAGTGCAGATCTAGAAGCAGAACGCACATGGGTGTAAAGGATGGTAGTGGTAAGCTGCCATTTTGGGGGCCAGACCAGGGCAGGATGCTGAATTAGTGCATTTCTGGAGTAAGTCTATTTCTGTATGCGGCAATGCTCCAAAGCTACACTGGCCTAATAGCTCAGAATCTATTTCAGGTCCTGAATTCTATCGACACAACTACCCCCAACCCCACCCTGATTCGTTTTGTTCGTTTTCAAAGCCTTTTCGCAGGAATGAATTTTTCTGCTCCTTGAAGCATGGACTCACTCCCACCCCCCACCTAAGAAGAGAGACTCTACAACTTGTCTTCACAGGATTAAAATGCTTGAACACAAATGGATTCAAAAAGGACACTTAAAAAATTAAAAGTCTACCGCTACTGGAAAATGCTGAATTCATCTCAAAAACAAACGAAAAAGAGAGTTAAAAAAAAGTTAACCATCACAATTTTCTTCAACCTGCAGAAACATGAGCTGCTGCATTTCCAACTGGAGGGGGAAATCCAGGGACCACAGGTGGTTCCTGGACTACTAGCGTTTAGCGTTTGCGTGGACTACCAAAACACAAACTAGAGAAATGGTTAAAAAAAAACCCAAAACAAAAGTGTGTAGCATTTACACAGTGTGCAGGTCGCGACACAAGCGCCACGTACCCAGTTGCATGGGTCGTTAGGCCTGAACACAAGTAGAGCGACAGTTTACTACAAGGGCCACAGTTTCCAGGCATGAGAACTTGGAGCCCAGAGACTCGAATCAGGAACATAAGACAAAAGTCCAAACACTGCATTTCCAGGTTTCGGGTCCATATCATAGCCTGAACATTAGTTTGTTTGAAGAAAGAGCCACTTTGATAGAAACTACAAAATGCACACCCTTCAGAACAAATCCGGTCCAGCAGGTGAAGTTCAAACAATTAAAAATACACGTAGCTGATTGACCAGATCAACCAGAGGTGTTCTATTCTTCAGGAAATCCTTGTACATTTAAGAGCAAACTACCCAATAGACAAGAACAGCTTAAACTGGGTATATCTGTGTTTTGTATTGAGAGGAGCTATCTGTATGGACCAAAGAGATTCATGGAAGAGTATGTTACCAAAAAAGCAAACACACGCACAACAGCCATATAGCTGAACATTTAGAACTTGGCCATTTAATTTTTTCCTATGTTACCTGATAATTACTGGACTATGTCTGAAAAAAGACTATATCAGACATTTTGCTCTCCTGACATTTGGAAGGGAAGGAAGATTACATTCATTTCTCAGTCCAGACCGTTACACATCACAGTCCAGCCTGAAGCTGTACTGCAAAGTTAAACCCCTAAAAATAGAGATTTGCAGTGAGAACACTGATAGTCCTTAGTAGAGCAGTAATGTTAGTCTAATTGAAAAGTGTATTAGAGAACTGTTTACCTTGGCTTATATAATTTACCAGCCTCTAAAATCCCCTGCTACAATTCATGCAAGACAGCTATTTAACTGCTATTAGAATTTCACTGTCTTAGGCTCCAGAGGCTATTCAGCCAACGGTCCTCCCAAATCATCCTAGTGCACCTCATCTAAAAGGCTTTCTAAAATCCAATAGGATTAAAAATACAATAGCACATGCACCAGAAATCCAACTCTCTAGCTGCCATATGTTATCTTCAAGAGGCTGGTTTCAGAACAATTATAAAATTCACCTTGCTGACTAAAAAGGTTGTGACTCAAGCCTCTCAGCTATGAAACAGCAGTGTGCAAGATACAGAAAGCGTAAAGGGTTAAAACAGGTGGCAAGTCCAGTTTTTTGTTTTTTAAATAATTCCAACAAATACTGCAGCCCCTGTATCAAGGTTTGAAGACCAAAAGCCTGTTTATTTGTATAGATTTAATACAAAAAAAGAGGGGGAGATATGGCTGCTTTGTTAAAAGCATCTCAATGCCACTGCATACACTTCAAGTGCCCTGCATTTGGTGGAAACATCTTGCTTGTTGCACACCATAGCCCTGCTGCACTGACACTAAATCCTTGCTCCCTCCCACCTGCATCCAAGTAGTCCTCTGGTTCCTCCCACCTCAGGAATTTTTTTTTCCTTTTTTCTCTTTTTTTTTTTTTTACTTTGGGAGAAGAACATTGACCAACAGTAAAGAGCAAACACAACCGTGTGGGAACAGCATGAACAACACTCCCCTACTGTGGGCAAGAAGGGAGAAGAAATGAAGTGGTAGTGGGGCTATGTTCTAGACTGGTAGGAATCGACCATCCAACACTGCAGCTGGATAGGCTGAGGTTGACTACATAGCCTTTCTGCAGACAGATGATGGGAGAGGAGAGAAGAGAAACACTTAAGCATGACTCATGGGATCTGAGACTGACTGCGGCTTACCAGGAATCCATCCCTTCACATTTATAAAAGAGTGCGCCTCACCCTCACTACATAGCTAACTTCTGTAGGCTTATCTTTACTTTTTCCTTTCACTACTTATTCCAAAAAGAAAATCCCTATAAAACATAAGGAAACCAGGATTTAAAAAGTGTTTTGTTTTAAATTTCTCTTCCATAATCTACCAAACTACATCCAGCCATTGAAGAATGACAGGAATAATGAGTATGAACAGCTGACCGGTTGGAGGTTGAAAGCCAAACAAACGCTGAAAGGGACAATTCAATCCAGAAAGAAGCAAGGGTATAGCATCCTGGTAAGATGGATCATTTCCAAAGAAAGTCACAAAGTGGACTGGCTATCTATTTCAAGTCCCCTGTACACTGTCTATGAAATGGTTGCATCAACCCAAGCAGCTTAGAAACATGGGCTGTTAAGGTGTATCTGGAATACACAATTGGAACTTGTGTTAACTTATTCTTCGAGGGAACTTACATCATCAGAAATGTATTAGACAACAGATTTAGGTGGCTATTTTCTCTGTATTCAAATAAGGAAATGGAATTTTGAAATCTCTCTTCAAACTTTGGGATCTCTAGTCTATCTGATTATTTAAGGTTTCTGAGTGTCAGCCTTAAATCTTATTGCTTCACAACTGCAGTATCCATTCCAAAAAAAAAAAAAAATCTTTAAGTGGTCCATTAATTTGTTTTAAATGGCTTTCATGTTTGATTGGGTAAGGGAGAATGGAATGGCCAATAGAGAACAGTGATTTCAAAATACTACTGTATAAGGGTTTTCTCTTTTAAAAAAAGGATACTGTATTAAACAGCTGAAAGTAAAAGACAGCAATCAAAGCCCATGAGTCAAGCCACAGCCAAAACCGTGTTCTACCCCTAAGTATGTTTTCTTTTCCTTTTTTTTTTTTTTTTTTTTAAACAAAATTCTCTCCAAGCTTCCATTTAATCTTCACCAGAGCCTGCTTCATCTTCAGACTCTTCATCCCCCGACTTCTCTGGTGGAGGGCTGGCTGACTTTTTCTTTTCCGGGGGACTTTCAGGCTCCTCATCCTCATCTTTGGGGGAAGGAGTCTTCTCTTTTGATGCCTTTGAACCCGGAGGCCGGCCTGCCTTCCCTTTGCCTTTCACTGGACTGGGCGTCACTAAAAGAAGAAAAGCCCATAAAGCCAATGATGAGGTACTGTTAGTTAACAAACAAAAACAATTCACAAAGCTTTACACAAATAGGATATTCTAGATGGATGCATTTACACCAAATCTTGTCCCGATTATCTTTTGAAAGATTTTTGTATACATTCAAGATGGCCAAGAGCACTACGTGAAAGGAGAATTATTGATTCTCAGCCTCTTGCAGGCTCAGATGAAGTGATGCCATAGCCAAACTAAGTGAAATGAACAATGAGAAACTGGCAATTACAGAAGCAGGAAAGTGGTTCAAAGAGCAGTCAAGGATAGGCAAAGCAGTGGGTATGGTAATGAAAGTGCCTGCAAAAAAGAGCCTAAGCAACTCAAACTTTTCATTTTGAATAGGACTGAACCCCAAATTCTGAAGGAATTTTTTTTGTGGGGGGGGCGGGGGGTAGGTACATGTTGGAGATTAAACCCTAACAAGAAAGTTTTCCAAAGGATACTTCAAAGCTATTTAATTGTGACATCATAAAAATAATGGTCTTCAAGACAGAAAAAATGCTGAATTCTAGGGTATGCATCTGAACCTTAATCCTGTAATCAGAACTGTAGGGTCCTTGGGGCCCAATTTAAAATTAGTATTAACGTATTACTAAATGTTTCAGTTGCTCTACAGACAATTTTGCAAAGGATTTATGCTTGGCCCATATTAAAAAAGGAAAACAAAACAAACAAACCCTCCCCACAAAAACACTTTTCTACACAACTGGAAGCGTGCGAGAAAAGCCAAGATGGAGCACAATTCTAAAATGTATTTTATTAGGAAATACACAGAATATATAATGACTCGGTATTTTATGGTTGCAAAGATAGGTTTCTGAAATGAACGTATTTTCAGGTATTTATAAATTTGTTGAGAAGCTTCCGTCAGATCAAACATTTTCAGCCCAGAAGAGTGACTAAAAGGCATTTTCATTAAATTTGTATCTACACACACACACGCCTTCAGATATACACGTAACAGGGAGGCAGTTAAAGCTTGTCAATACCAAACATCCCCTACTTCAGAACAAAAGGATCTAAACAAAGGACTGGAAGCCAAATATTCCAAGTTCCCATCTTGACAGATGCACTGCCTTTGGGTGATTCATACCAACGACCCTCCCACACCACCCCCACGCAAATTTCCCTATTATTAAAATAGGCTTAATTCTTACTTAAGTAACAGAGCATTTGTGACTATTAATTCTGAAATCATAATAATAACTATGCCCTTTTTAACCTTCACAAAAGGTAATTAAAATCTCTGCATTATTGCCCATTAAAATATGTCACTGGTAGAAGACTGAAATTTCAGTCCATAACCCGATCCTTACAATCCTTAAATATTTATTTTTAAAGCAAGCTACTTTCCCTTCCAGTTGGCTCACCTGTAGCCTTTAGCCTAGGCTTGGGCATTTTCTTTTCTTTCCTCTCTGGCTTGGATTTCTTGGCCACCTTTTTATTCTTCTTTTTTGAACTGCCATAGTCGCTATCATCATCATCTTCCACAAGAAAGTCTTCATCACTGCCAGAATCTTCTGAAGGGACAAGGAAAGAAGTGTTTGTAAAAGGCCTTTCTACTCACTGTAAGAAGAGACTTACAGCCAAGACAAAAATGGTCCAGCAATTACTGGGAGGAACAGGGAGTCTAAGAGTTAAAAAAGACACTGGCTGTGCAAGTTACTACATACTTGGATGGACTTGGGAGAGTCGCCTCATCCTTGTGCTTTAGTTTTTCTCCTCATGAAGCATTTTCTAGCAAAAGACTTAGTAGCGTGTGTAGAGATAACAAGCAAGTCTTGCCACCAAGAACTGGTAAGTGCTCCAAGGCCCTCAAAAGTACCAAGTGCTAACTGCATCCCATTTCAGAATGACCATAAGTATCTTGAGCAGTTATTTTAAGTGACTTTTGCATTACAACTCTTCCTTTTATCCTTAAGCCAACCAACTGCAGGATTGCCCTTTTTATGTTAGGTAGCAAATGACGTTTCGCTGCCTTTAATCACTCCTCTTTGAGCAATGAGCTCTTCCATCTTATGGTAAAGAGTGGAGAAGCCACTCTGAAACTAAGCCAGGGCTCCACGACACACGGAATGGCAGGAAGCAGCAAGACGCAGGGGCAGGCAATTATTTCGGGCGGAGTTTTGGCAAGCCATCAAGGGCCACATGACAGGCAGCCAGCGGCAGATCAATATTAAATTTTCTAAATTTTTTAGGGGCCCCACGGGCCGGATAGAATGGCCTGGCAGGCCGTATTTCACCACCCCTGACAAGAGGCATTACACACTTGATTCTGAAGGCTGCCTTAAGAGGGCGCACTATCAAATACTATGCCTTAAGCTGAGGGCAAGGGATAAGCTTAGCTACCTGCAGAAGATGTAATAGTTCATCTGTTCTGCAGATTTGCAATGGCACTGAACACATTGATGAGCAGAGATCCAGGTTTTTCATTTCCCATGGGGAAAACAGTAAAACGTGGATTTCCCCCTTCACCAGAAGAAAAATGTGGCTCTCATTTTTGTGGAGAAACCCGCAGATTTTGCAGTTTTAGAAAGAGTTCTCTGCATGGTGGCAGAGTCCAAGCCTGCAAAGGACTAAGGGGAGTGGGAGGAGGGCGATCAGGTAGGGGGCACCATATACATCTATACACAGGGCAGAGCAGGACCGCGCAGGAAAGTTCCTTGCTGCTGCGAGCTCCATGCTGCTTTGGCGAGCTCTCTCCTGCCTGTGTGGCAGCATCAGGGGCAGCAGCATGGGGTGGTGCCCCTCACTGCTGCTGCACGCACAGGGGAACATATCGCAAGGGCAGCACAGGGCTCACAATGGCAATCAGCTTTCCTGCAAAGCCCTGCTCTGCCCTGCAGTGCTGGGTTGCACCTGCCAGGCTGCAGAGGCCCTGGAGGAAGTCAACAGGGCAGGAGCCCACCCCTGCCATACACAGAGCTGTGGAGCACAGGCCCTTCCCACCCCCCCAAGAAGTGCATGCAGCACAAGGGAGCTGACCCCACCCACCCCATCCAAGCTAGGCTCTGTGCTCTGCTCCGTTGCAGCAGGTGCCACCGCCTCCTGCTGGGGGCAGGGGCTGTAGACCCAGATGCCTGGTCCTGTAGCCCTGGCAGCTGGGGTCATCCCCTCCAGCAGGGCAAGGCGGGGGGGGGGGGGCGGGACGGGGCTTTAATTTTTAATCACGGAATTTGCAATTTTATTTTAAATCAGGGAAAACCAGGACCCCTGCTGATGAGGAATACAATACTTATGTGCACCAAATATCCAAACTAACTGTATCAAGTTTTATTGTTTGGCCAAAGTTAATGCATGCCCTCAGATGTCCCGATAATGCACTAGTTCATGTCATACTACCTTCAACCTCTTTGTACGCTGCCATTAGTCCTCCTCTACTTACTCTCTTGGAATTGTGCCTCTTCATCTTCCTGCTCCTCTTCCTCACTGCCTACATCATCCATGAGCATCTCCCGTTGCTTGGAAGCTGCTTTAGATGCTGCCTGCCGCTGCTGGCGCACATTTTTGTGGTCTTCTTTCTCATCCTCACTGTCCTCTGCAAGACAAAATCTCCACGTTACAATGAAGGTACAGTACATAACATGTTTTCCTTGCCTGGGATAGAGGATGGGGGAGGAGAAGGGTTGGAGAGAAACAGTAAAGAGGCTTGCTATAACAACAACTGGCTAAATGAATGTGATCAGATTAATCCCACACTAAACACGTGGTGCAAGATGCCTTAACTTAACGAGGGCTCGTCTACTAACCAGACAAATTAATACACTTTTTCACAACAGCCCAAGTACTTTTCCAATCCACGGTCTCGATCCATTTCTCATGAAGCAGGACGCTGTTTAGTGACAAAGTACATTTAGAAGGCTTTAAAATAAAAGAAGTATTATAAAAAAAAAAAAAAAATCTATAGCACCAAGAAGCATAAATTTAAATAATGTGCGCTGCAAAGGAGACTAGAACAGGGAACAGATGTTTGCCATGCAGTGACTGAACCATTTGAGTTAAGATATTCAATGTTGCACTACGCTAACTTTACACAGAATATTTTACTCGTGATTTTACAGCCAGGATAAATACAGGAGACTTGCTATTCTGGAACAGATAAATGGGGGGGGGGGGCCGCGTAAATTATTTCTTGGCTAAAATTATTTTGACTAAACTAAGCTAGCACACCCAACTAAAAGGTTAAGCCTCCATTCCAGCACCCTGGTGGCAAGCTATCAAGGAGCTAACTTGCGGCACAACAGCCAAAGAGGACGATCATCACTGTGCTAGACAGTCCAGTCAAGGACTGATTCTACATACTAAGCAACTGTCCCTGGACTCTCTCCCCCACAGAAAACAATCTGCAGTTTAGGTCTAAAAAGACCAGGGGCATAAAACAGAAGTTTCAAACTTATGATTTAAGGAGCACAGGGAACAAAGCGCATGTCATCTGCAAGTGGAAGGAAACAAAAAAATATATTGGTTCACAAGTGCTTCTGATTTTCGCTTCTGGTCCTTCAGCAATAGATCAACATTAATGCCAATTTAATGCTGGGTCTCTCTATCAGCCACATACCTAACATGTTTACAGATAAATAATTATGTTTCTTAACCTGCAGGCCTTTTCCTGGATTTGGAGGCTCTCTTGTTCTTTTCGGGTTTGGCCTTTTTTCCTTTTTTGTTTTTCTGAGAGCTCTCATAGTCACTGTCAGCTTTGCCATCATCTGCTTCTAAGTCATCGTCCTCACTGCCAAAATCTTCATCTGGGAGGAAATGGTGAGAAAATACAAGTCTCTCAGATACCTCTCAAGGGAACAAGTTGATTGGAGCCACAAGGGGGAGCAACAGATTAACATACTTTCAACCAGGGAGACAAAGGATTATACCAGCAATATGTCACAAGGGAAATAATTCTGCTAATCTAGTCTCTGGCTGGAAATTGCAGAAGGACTAGTTATGATGCAATGACAGAGCTAAGTATTATACACACTGCTTTGGCTAGCATCATTTGTCCCCTTTTAATAACCCAACAGGCCCTTGTTAAAAATTACATTGATAAGGGCCAAGTACCTGCTGAATGAGACTCATCTTTCTTGGTCTTCACATCTTTCTCCTCTGAATCCTCACTGTAAAGAGAAAGAGAAAGTTCCAGTCTGTGCAGTGATAATACCTGAAACCCCAGCATACAAAGACAAAATCCAAAAGATCAAATTGGTCTAGTCTTGTGACAGCTTAGTGAACTGATACTTTATGGAGACTGCTACCTTATGCTTCAAAAATGCTTTAAAAAACAAACAAAAACTTTTCTAGCAATTATGGTTGTGAAGACAACATACAAATCATGAACCAAGTTCTTGTCAACAGATTCTAATAGCTGAATAGCTCAAGACATATTACCTACAAAATTCAGCTCAAATTTAATTCTGAAATCTAAAGTTATAACTGTGAAACAGATGAAAGTGCTGCCATTGGATTACAGTTTACAACAGAGAGTCTTTATGAACAGATATACTATCTGTTTACACTAACCCAGATTAGCCCACCTATTAATTAACGAGATGTACAAGCTTTATGTCCATATTCACAAGCCCTGTTATTAAGCACAGTCTGCACCTTCTAAGAATCACAGAAGGAATTGCCAAAGACAGACTTAATGTGCTTCCCTCTCATAGAAACTCCGCCTCTCCTCATACCTCAGGAGCTGAAGTCCCAGAAACCATATTAATAGTGTTCTGCAGACTTACAGCTCCCTTGGACAGCTTCCAGGTAATTACCTAGAAATTAAAATTTGCATTCAATCTCAGTGTAAATCCTCTGTGCTGGAGGATAACAGACCATTTAAAAATGGCACCATGTCTTTCTTTCCAACCAAAAGCCTAAACCCACAAAACCCTTAAGACTATCAGCTGAAACCACATTTCCTGTGTAACCCAAACCCAGTTTCTTAGGGTTCTCATCAGCATGCGAGATGATCAGACACCTCAGGTCTGTAAGAATGTAATCAAAATCATAATGCTGAGGTCACAAGATAAAAGTGAACGGAAAGTGAATAAGGACTAAGGGGCTGACATGATCTGGGAGATCCGTGTCCTTGCTACTAACTTCTCAATAAAGAGAGGGTGCATACACACATCCGAGTCTTAGCTGCATGGACAGGGGACCACCCTCCAGGTAAGATTTCTTCACACTTGCTAGAGTTCCAAAAGAGTCCATTATTACACAAAAACTTTAAAGACCCCCTGTGTAATGAAGTACTTGCACATCAGCAGGTGGTTACCAAAATGTCAAGTAGCTTAGGTGAATGTTAGGCTTTCATAAATAACAGTGTTTTAGTTACCTGTCCTCTTGAGAATTCTTTCCAGGCCGCCTCTTATTTTTAGCCTCCCGAGGAGATGAGCGGATTTTCTTAGCTGGAGGAGCTGAATCTCTTCCATAATCTTCATCTAGACAATACAATAGAGAAATTGGTTTTGAAATGCATTAAACTATAATTTACAGTAATCCAAACAGCCAATTAGGATATAGTTGAAGAGGTAATGCTTTGAAGTTACCAACACATATCATTTTAGAGGGTGTCAAAACAACAGGTGGTCCAAAGGAATAGTTTTCAAAACTTAAAAACCAAATTTACAAAATGACATGCAATCAACCTGCCCATCTATCTGCAAACATGCTAGGATATACTATGCCAACAATTTTGACATACTTAAGTTGCCAGAACTACTGCAGAAAAAATGTCATGGCAAGAGGAGCGTTCATCCTAATTTTATGGCTAATGAGAAACTTGCATTTAGCTTTAGATTTGCCACACAAAGGCATTACAAACATGGATGTGGTGCCTTAACTCCTGCTAGTCCTGATTAAAAACAAGTATTCTACATAGATATGCTGAGTCCTGCGTTCTTATGATGTAGGAAATAGATATAGATATATAGTCTTTTAAAAGTTAAATTTTTCCAACTACTAAATTATGCACAACTTGCTAATAACCTGCAATGTAGTATGGCAGTTAAGAACTATGCACATTTTGTTTCCCCTAATTATCAATACAAGCTCATTTGCCAGACAGTAAGTAGCAGCACATCTACTTTCCAAGAACATAAAACATTCTCCATATGGCTTCCAAAAAAAATGTTAATTCATGTGGCATATACAAAGAATTAAAGAATGATTCATAGAACTGTGTGGTGCAATAGAATTTAATATAACCTAAAATTGGCTGCAGCAAAGTACAAAAGTAGTAGTCTCAGAGGCACTCTGCCAATAACAAACCAAAAAAGATGACAGTTGCTATCAATGCAATGGCCTTTAGGCACTATCAAAGTCTAGGTGTTAAGTAACAGTATATATTTTAAATTTCAATGGTTTGCTTAATAGAATACACGCATATCTCTGAATAATGCACTTACGTTTTGAAGTGCATATCAAGAATAAAGAGCCACTAAGTGGAAGCAGTAAATTCTATTCTTTTAAATTAAAATCGTAAATAAAAACAGAATGTATTTACTAACATACAGGATGTATTACATAACAACTAAGCGAACTATACATCCTTGTAACCTGAGAACATTTCTTTGGATTTTGCTTAAAGGGCAAAATTCTTTGAATCATCCATTGCTGCACCTTTAATGACTCGCTATGCAATTTGACAGGGTCAATGAAAGCTCAGTAGCATCACTGCCCTTAACTAATACTGCAGCCTCGTAAATTTTAGATTATCCATCCATTATTACTAAGCAGAACAGGAATAAAAAGTGTAAATTCTTGAAAAAGGCAATAAAACAGATCTAGATCCATCCATCCATCCATCCATCCATATTAAATAAAACACTGAATTTAGACAACTTTTTACTTCACTAGACATGAAAGTATTAACTGTTTTTTTTCTAAAAAGAAAAACAGTAAGCTTACCAGCATCATCTGATTCCTGAAACTGTGAGTAATCGACCACCTTCCTGTTCCTATTTAAGAAAAAAAGGGAGGGGGGAGAGATTAGAAATCCATAGTTTCAGAAAGTGAACTTTTTTCCACAACTAGCATGAAAACAGCATTCCCTAGTTTGATGCAGAAATCAAAAGGTCTTTGAAGGCCATCACCTACCAGTACCCCCCCCCAACCAAGGCAGCCCCAAGAATGCTTTCCTAAGAACTAAGACATCTATGTCTTAGAAGTCAAATAAAAACAGTATCACTATGTTCCAACAATTTCTAGCGGAGCTATTAAAAATTAAACTGAACATTTACTCATCAAAAAGCTCATAATAAAACTTGAAGCTTCTATTAGGTAGTAACTCAGTATCCATCACAATTGTTATATGGAAGTGTCCCAAACAGCGTTCTTCCTGCAGGTGAAGAATGCAATTTAGAGCCACTTTCTTGTTTGTATATTCAGATCTTTTAAAACTATATGAAATTCTTAAAGATGTCTTAACTGAACACACCCCGTCATAATTCTTGATTATGACGGGGTGTGTTCATTATAAATGCCAGCAGTGGTTATTATAAACCACTGCTGGCATCCCAAAATTTCACCCGAGTTTCATTGCTTAGCACCCCCACCATAAACACAGTTTCTGAGCTATCAGCAGGGTGTGTCTGGTCAATAATGTAGTAAATGTTGCTTCCCACCTCTTACCGCTGAGACTATAGGTGCCTCCTAATACTTTACTAGTAACAAATATATTCAGAAGTTGAACTTGTTTAGACTGGGCTTTTGTTTGTTTGTTTTAAAGCCCAAAACACACCTCTCTTTAAAACCAGATCTAGGAAGCTTTATGTCCCTCTGTTTCCTCCCAAACTAAAATACCAGATGGTTGCCTCAGAGGGCCATCAAAACAGACTTGGGAATCTAGCTGTAGAATGAGCAGATTAATTTGCAAAGATGATAGCATCATGCTCACGTGTCTCATTACTGGAGACTTGTTAGGACAGGCAAGAATTGCTTGCACAAAAGAGTTTCCCATGTGGCATTTGCTATTCTTTTCACAAAATTAAGCCACCTCAAATTGACTTTGTAAACACAACAGCCAGGAGGAAAGAGTTATACATCGTTTAAAAAAAACAAAACAAAACAAAAAAAAAACAAAACACAACAACAACAAAAAACCTATGAAAAACCTTTTTACAATACTTACAACGACATTTTAAAAAGACATCGAGTCAAATGCAGGCTTTTCCACGTTAAGAAATGTATGGTCATTTACACATGACCAGAAAAAGCAGGGGAGGGGAAAGGACAGGAATGATGCCTTTATTTCTTTAAGAACCCTATTTTAAAAAGTTTTACTTGAACAGCTTTTCTTCCTTTTTAAAACTGTCAGAGGTGGACAAAAAAAAACAACATCTTCCAATCACTATAACGACTACAGTCAAGACACAAAACCAACTCGTGAATATGAAAAAAAACCCTCATTTTCTTTTCATGCTTAACATCTCAACCTTCAGTGGTATGGTAACAATACTGAGAAACCACTGATTTTCACCCATACACCCTGCCACCACACAAGGTGCACTTTGTTTTTGAAAGGCAGAATGAAGAAAAAGATCTATCCTTAAAAATACTAGTACGCAGCAGCCCAGCCTGCTCTTTGTGCTATTGCTGTGGAGCAAAGGCAGCTTTAAGTCTTTGCCCCAAGAAAGCAAGAGTAAACTGAAAAATCTGCTTTGACTATTTTCTCCCTTACAATGAGTACCTCAATTTCTTGCAACTGGTTTGTTGGAAAAATGGTGCATTTTGTATGCTACAAAGTATGGCGGTTATTAAAACTGAGGGCATTAAAAATTCAAGATAATCACCAGCACCACCTCATGAAGCAAAGTCATGCTCGGAGGCCTCTTCATTGAAGCCACACTTGTAATGCATCAATACGAGTCCCCTTCCCAATATTCGCTCCTACAACCTCACCCCTTGTTCCCTCACTCTCCGGAGATGCTAATCTCTCAGGACCCCAGGAGAAAGGCTTTTGGAAACAAGCTTTCCTAGTTCTCTTCTCATACTGTAACCAACAAAACACCACCAAAAGCAGCACGAGGCCAATGAGAAAGAGAGAAGGAGAAAGATTTAAATACTTTAAGCACTATAGCTTATCCTTCTACTAAACTGTATTTGATTTAAAAAAAAAGGGCAATTAGTCACAGCTGTAATGATGTTGCTTAGCATCCAACTACAGGCGATATAGCTAGCTAATATAACAGATTACTACTGAACAGACAACCCAAGAGATACTTTATTTGTCTAGCAAAAGTTTGATTTACTAAATTTAAGTTACAAACGTAAGTCTGAAGAGTTATACAAAAACACGTGGAAATCTCATTAACTATTATAATCCACATTAGTCCTATTTATTTTTGTGACAAAATGTTACTACTTTTTGCTCCAAATAGCCTTTGTAGAGCCAAAAGCAGGCAAGTGTGCAGTGGATTCAGTTCTGGCTCATAAAACATTGCTAATGACATTCAGCTGCTGGGCCTGATTTTAATCTTAGTACTACTAGCCATCTAGCGGTGAACAAATGGGGGTGGGGAGAGAAGAGGGAATTTGGATCCCTGTTCTAGAAAGCATCACCTATCTATTGACAATCACTGGACATTTCAGACAATGAAGAACTTATCCCCGCCATGCCTTTGCTAGGTGGGGTATCACTTTCTGCAGCTGAGAAAAGCGAGGAAGAGATTCAGTAACCACACTTCAGAAATCAGCTCTGTGCTTCAATCCAGCACTTGTAGGAGGGAGGGACAGAGTTGTGATACATCACAGAACAAAACAACATTTAACATGCACTTCCCAGAAGTGACCTACACTAGGAGATTAATGGTGTGCATTCTTGCTACGACTGATTGCTGGAAGGATACCCCTAAATCATGCTGTTGCTTTTTGGCTATCAATTCCTTTGCAATGTTTTCTATGCTTCCCTTTTCCACAAACGCCTGAATTCATGGTTTCCAGAAACAGCCTGAGAGAGAGGAAGTAACATAATTAAATTACTTGAGCCTTAAGCCAACCCTCTTGAAAAAAAATGAATTAAGATTCAAGAGGTGGACAGTCATTAGATTTCTGGAGGCTGAATCCCATCCAATTTTCAGGGAGGAGCAAGAAGGGATTAAAATGCAGCTGCAACATAAAATAGACTGCACACTCATCTGTGGTCTAAATGTTTCAAACCTTAAGTTAAGGAATACAAACACTGACAGGACTTGTTGAGTAGTGTAGAGGCCAGGCCAGAGAAACCTCAAATTTTAAGTCCTGATCCAACAATTAGCCTGAAGTGCCCAGCTTAAAAATGGGGGAAAGACCAATCTTTTCCAATGCTTTATGAAGGTATACTTAGCGCACATACCTCTTATTTCTGCATGCGCTTTCTATTTACCCAAAAAACAAGGGTAAATTTTGCTGTCTATTCACTTGACCAACTTCAAACAATTGTCTCCATACTTCACCTGATCTATTCAGCAAGATAAAGTGCTTATCCTACAGTTTATAAGAAACAAGCTGTTAAAAGGACTGCACCTAGCTTATTAATGTTGGTGGAGCATTATATGCTATAAAGAACTGAAAATGCAAAACACTGTCAGGTAAAATATTAATGAAAACTTTCTAGCATCTTTTCTCCTCCTAAGCACTATACCCTACATGTTGGGCTGGTAAGCTAGTCCCTGCTGTGCTCTCATTACCTTGTCTACAGGAATATTGATTTTTATACCAAGTACCATAAAAATCACTATGGCAGTAGACAACTGTATAGGGAAAGCTGCTCCTTTTTTGCCTTGCAGGACAAAGGAAAACAAATGACTACACAGAGATGAGAGCAGCGACAAAAAGGTAAGAAACTTCTCGAAAGAATCTTCC